TGTCTATTTGAATAGCTTTCTATAGGGTATATTAAGGCTCTACGGTGGGGTACATCTAATGAAAATCTGAGAAAAAAATGATTTTGGCATAGTTCGCCTTATCGCCTTCCGTAAAATCACGCGAATTGCAGAGCCCGGACACCACTGACACAATTCCACGTAATTTTCGACAACTCATACGTCACCGGGATCCTGGTTATCCACGATCTACTTGAAGAAACGGAAACCCGCACCCTGTACCAACCTCAACCTACCTAGTGTATCAATTGATGTCTTGTCAAAGTATAAGTGCCTACCAAAAAATGGATTCCGGATGGTCGTGGTCTCCTAGCCGGCCCTTGGCCAACATCAGCAATAACAGGCTGAATGCACTTAACGGCTCGGGATTGAAGGTATGAGCGCGACTCATGATAGCTCCTCCTTTGAACTGGATCCGCTAATCGTCCTAGCTGGACTTCAATCGAGGACCTCAGGCTCTCCAGTCTGGCAAGGAGAACACAGTCCCCGCCAACAAGGGCAACAAAAGCACTAACAAAAGCTCCACTGCAACCACGGCTTCCAAGAAACGCAAGTCTGACGCCGTAGAAGAACTCAAACAGAATCTCTTCCCTGATGACGCTCCTGAGATCGACGATGATGACCCGCGGCTCCGGATGGCCGACGAGACTTGCAACGCCATCCGCAGGAAGATCCGCACCTGGATCGAGTCTGGCGCCCAGAAGGTCGGAGAGTTCCAGAACACTATCCAAGTGAGCCCTCGCAGCTATCAGAGTTTCATGAACCGAACCAAAACCTGGGACGGAGAGTACAACGACACCTATATCAAGGCGCTCGCATTCTTCAAAAAGAGGGAATTGCAAGGTCTACCATTGAAGGCTAACGGGAAGACCGCGAAGAAGTCTAAGAAGAGCGCGAGCCCTGATGAGGTCAATAGACTTCTTGATGTCAGCATGATATCGCTGCCCGGTGAAGATGCTGGCAAGGTCCCGGTCTACGACACCTGCGACGAAGTCCGCAAGAAGATTCGCGCTTTTCTCAAGCATGATGGCCTCACCCAGGCTGCCTTCGTTCGAGAGATTTCCAAGAGCTTCCCCGATGAGCGCAAGGTGTCACCTCGGAACCTACAGTCTTTCTTGGGGTTGAAGGGCCCGCTCTCGGGTAACACAAACAAGACTTTCTACGCGGCCTATGTCTTCTTCGAGAAACTCCGCATCAAGCAGGGCAAGCCGAAGAGTGATTTTAGAGAGAAGATGGAAGAGGTGCATGGCTGGAGAGGTGTGAATGTGGAATACTCTTCGTCAAGGCCGATTTTTTGCCGAGCAGACGCGCGGCCGTGCCAAGACGAGTATGGAAGAATAGTCTGCCTATGACGGCGGATTATTTTCGAATTCTGTTTCAAATAGCTCTGAGCGTTGCGCATTGTCTGTCACTATATTGTACTGCTTGTGAGATTGTCAATTTTCAGTTTTCGGGTAGCAATCTGTATTCGTAGCAATCACCAAAATGCTACACGGTATCATCCACTACAACTAATCACTGATATATCAAGGAATCCGGAATATATATAATGGGCACTGAGAAGGGATTGGATTGTTGCTGCTAAAGCTTCGTCATCTAGAACGAAGGCTTGAATGAGACGCTGTCTGCATTGCGGTCTCAATCATCAACATCCAGTGTCTTGGCCTTTTGAAAAGCCTTTCGCAAGTCGCATTTCCCTACGTTCTTACCCCCTGCTTTACACTCTTCGCAGACTTTTCCATGCTTCACAAGCAAAATGTGAAGCCCGTATTTCTCCTCATCCGGTATCATGATATCCAAATGAGAATGAGTTTCGTCTCTAGTCGCGTCTTTCGGCCTCCAACCTAGCAATCCGGTAATCCTCCAGACGTGTGTATCAACCGCGAATGACTCCCTTTGAAGACAGAACAGGAGCACGCAGCTGGCAGTCTTGGGTCCTACGCCCTGGAAGCTGAGTAGTTCTTGCATTGCCTCCTCGTTACTCGCGCTAAACAAATGGTCAAGCGAATACACCCCGTACTTCTCTTTCACTTGCTGCAAGATGCTGATTATGACCTTACTCTTGACGGCACTTAGACCACCGCACTTGATGGCTTCCTGTAGTTTCTGTTGCCCGCCGTCGACAATTTTCTCCCACTCATCGCTACCACCGTACACGGCATCCATGCTGCGCTTTGCGCGGGTGGAGTTGACGTCGCTTGTATTCTGGCTGAGGATGGTGCGAACAAGTGCGTCAAGGACGGAGGGCGAGTCTCCGCAGCCTGCACGCGTGGTTGATGCTTTGATTTCCTGAGGACGGACCCTTTTACCATGCAGATTGATGAGGATTTTGTGAGCACGGCGGCACTCCTCAGGCGTAGGGTGCGGAAAGTTGGGGAATGGCGAGGTGTTGGCATATTGAGCAAAAGCCTTCCATTTCTTGGATTGCAGGCTCTTCTCTTTTGAAGGACTTGGAGTTTCACGTTTCAAGGCTGAGTCGATCTTGGTATCCGTCACCTGCTCCGCTTTCACTAGTAGTGATGACCCGGATGTGTCATCATCTTCCACTTTGATTCGTTTTGCTGACCGTGGTGTATCTGGACCTGTGGACCGTTTTCTGGTCGTATTCCGTTTTACTGGAGTTCCGCTCAGCGATACGGGCTTCGCACTACGTGGGGCAGTGCTCGCATCTTGTCCTGCATCCGGCTCTGTTTTGACCGTGTTGGTCGAAAGTCGTGCACTGGAGCGTGTTGATCTAGCCATTGAAATTAGGCCCAAACGTTGAGATCCGGTGGTAAGCGACCTCAGTCACATGAGTTATAATTGAACCTTCACAAATTGAAATAATTTCAGCGAGTGAAGCCGGATTCTTGAATGATGAATGGTAATATGATAGATGGCGAAGTTTTGAATGGTTCAGGGGTAAAATAAAGGTGGTGATGTCACAGACATTTTTGCCATTTCGGGCTAGTTTCACTCGGTATTCATTGGTGGCGCTTGCAAGGCTAATCGCCGCTTCTGCAACTTACTCTTGAGCAACAGCGCGAACACGCTGAATTCTCACGGAATTCAAGAATTATTGCCGCTTTTATCTCGTGGTCCTAGACATAGCTGGATGAAAACAACAGACTAAGGTACTAGAAAGTCCACAACATGAGGAATAAATTGACCATTTAAGAAGGTGATAATGCCGCTTGTACTTGCTATTGAGTAAATGGTTTTGCTCTGAGTCTACTCCTCCGCCAGGGTAATAATTGTTAGTTTAGTAAGGGTATCACTACTTCCTCAACAAGGGGTTACTACCTTTGTATAATTAGTAGAATATTCTAGAGCTCAATAAGCATAACGACTCTCAATATTGAATATCTTTATCCATTCAATATTACCGTTATTGCCCTAGCGGAGGAGCATGAATCCTGGAAAATCTTTCTTGGCATCTAATTTCTCTGCCTAATATCAGACTTGAATACGCATACTTCCCCGATCTTAGAGATAGTTCCGCGCTGGATCTTATAAATGGTGCAGTTCCTCCTGAGCAGCAATCGCACCATTGATCTCATAGGCCTTGAACTTACGGCTTGGCACTTTGCGCTCGAACATGACGTCGAGCTCTTCAAAAGTCCTCCCCTTCGTCTCCGGCATACAGAAGAAGCAGTATAGAGTGCACAGGACTCCAAGACCTGCAAACAGGAATCCAATTTTGCCCCGCCAGTTTCCTTCATCCTCATTCATGGCGTACGGAATTGCCACGGCAAAGACTATCGATACAATGTGACAAGTGACAGTCGCAAGGGCAATTGTCATGCCACGGAGCTTAGCGGAAGACACTTCAGCTAGAAGCACGAAACAGTACGGGCCGATAGTGACGTCGTAGACGAAATTGCAGACCAGCATGAGCGAACACTGGACCCAAGTGGCAGCGTGACCACTAGTCTGCGGTGCGAAGTCAAGCGTGGCAATGATAAAGCAAAACGCCGACAGAGCCGCGCAGCCCCAGACATAGGCGGCACGACGGCCGACGAATGTCATGACCCACCACGACAAGCAGGTTCCAACAAAGCCGATTGCTGTCAAGCCGAGATTCATGCTGAAGGCATCTGAAGAGTCTAATCCGGCCAACTCAAAGAAGTATACGGCGTAGTCGATGAAGAGGATGTTACCAGTGAAGGCTTGGATATCATACGCCTGTCCCTTGTCAGTAAGTTAAATAAATTACAGTACAACAAATCAAGACAACTTACCATAATACATATAATCAAACGGCGAAGGTTAGGACCCTTGAAACAGTCGAAGAGAGTTGGGGCGTTGTCCCCCTTGAAAGCCTCCTCCAGGCGTAATGTTTCTTTAACGAACGCGAGCTTGAGACTGGGGTCAATAGAAGGCGTTGCGAGTCTTCGAATAGACTTCTCAGCTGCATCATAGCGCTTCTTTTTGCATAGCCAGAATGGAGGATCCGGGCAGAAGAATATGAATAACAACATCAGTGCCGGCAACGCCCATTGTGTAGCAATCGGTATCTTATAAGCAAACTTGCTATCCATATCACTTGTTCCTTTCAGAATTCCTGAAGCTATGAATTGGCCGATGACGAACGCCAGATTAGTCATGCTCGCGGCAAAACCTCGAAGTGCGAGAGGACAAACTTCGCCAACATATGCTGAGGCACAGATGGGGTAGAAGGCGATGAGGCAGCCATTCAAGAGTTGACCAACGAACAGCTGTGCCGGAGTGGAGCTGAAGAACTGAATGAATATAAAAGCCACTGAACCTGTCGAACAGATAGCCAGCATGAGTCGAGGGCCGAGACGGTCGTATGCGAATCCGGCGGTGAAAGCACCAACCATCGCACCAAGCTTGTTAGCATAATTGAAAGCACTGAGCCAATGGGCTTCCACGACATATGTTCCATTATAGAGGTAACCGTATTGTTCTTTGAATGTACCAATGCCGACGAGACTGCCAACAATGCCGCCATCCATTCCTTTGAGGACAGTAGCTAAGTTGATGAAGAGGCACCATAGTACGGCAGGATAGTGAAGTTTGATAGCCGCCCAGAATGTCAGCCCGTGCTCAACCTCAGTGTACTGGAGAGACTTCTCGAATTCAATCTCGAGAGAGTCTATGTCCACGGACGGATGGATATCCGCCTTATCGACCGAAGCTGCATCTGAGGCTGCCATAATAGTTGCAGGCACGAAGAGACAATATCGTGTCGACAAACGACTCAAAAATACGAAGGGTTGTACTGCGGCGTGTTTAGAACAGTAGATTCGTAGATTGCCATACTTCATTATATACTTCTAGATAGTGGGACCTGCTTGGAACCGTTGCACTGTCTTATCTCTCCCAGTCCAAACTTCTGTACCGGTAATAATGTCGGACATGATGTGCGGCGGCCCCACTGACGGATGAGTCAATTGGCGATGAGGTATTGTATCATGAGAGCGTCGGTGATCCGACGCAAATAATGCTCTTAGTTTGACTACTCTAGGCCTTCATATCAACCAAGGACGATCCGGCAAATAGAAACCGAGATAGCTGACCAACGACGAGCAATCCAGAAGCTGATCAACTGTTATAAAAGCCCGAACCGGATTGGACCGTTGATTTACCACTACGCCTTTTGTGGCATATCTAACAGTTAGGCAGGCTTAGAGGTCCACCAACGGGAGTCTGGTTGCCGGTTTCTCCGCACCCGTGGGGGCGCCGATCCCTCCGGCCCAGCTCCGGCGTGTTGAGCATGGTATATCCAGATCCTTTAACCTCTTGGAATCGTACGCATATGATGCGACGTCCAAATTAGTTATTCCAGGAGGGATCCATCTGGAGCTCGGTTGCGATCGAGCTGTCGGGGCATATCATCGGTTACTTAAGGCGGTGCTCTATCTTGAGTCGGCGCAATATCTTATCGCAAGAATTACAGTCCAAAAAGCGAGTCACCTCAGGCTCAACATTTCCCTCTCCATACAACGCATGAACGCCAGCATTATGACTGTGTCTCCTAAGCCTGGACCACAGGTGAGGCTCATTGAGCTGACAGCTGAAGAGTTATCCACGAGAAAGATCGGATCGCACAATCTGCAGGCTGCCGTCGAAGCACTTCACCAAGATGGTATTGTTGTCCTTAAGAATGCTGTTGATCCAGCCCATCTTGATCAACTAAATGCCAGAATGGTGCCTGAAGCCAAGGAGCTGTACGCCCGGCCAAGTACGCACCGCAACTTTGGTAACAGCACCGGTAATATCCAGCAGGAGCCAGTGCTCGAGGAGGGCTACCTCTTCGAAGATGTGATAGCGAATCCCTGGGCTACCGAGGTTATCCAGTGCATGCTGGGGCCTAAACCGACTCTCAGATTCTATAGCGCAAACACTGCGTTCAAGGCTGAGGGGCGGCAGCCGCCACATATTGATATCGATTTCGACTTCCCCAAGTTGCCCTTTGGGTACTGCGTTAATATCAACTTGGTCGATACGTCACCAGAGAACGGAGCGACAGAAGTCTGGCTGGGCAGCCACCATGATACGGACAAGTCTGTACTCGACTCCAGTGTGAAGCACAAGCAGATTAAGGCGGAGCTCCGGGAGGCGCGGCGCAAGTTCAGCCCTCCAATCCAGCCGAGCCTGCCAAAAGGATCGCTTATCATCCGCGACTTTAGACTATGGCATGCGGGTATGCCGAATAGGACCGACGAGCCGCGGGTGATGCTTGTTTCGGTCCAATTCCCTCACTGGTATCGAAGTGATCTGAAGATCAAGCTTCCCAAGAGCGTCGACGGCAAGATCCAATGGGGCGATATCACACCTTGTGTGGATTGGAAGGAGGAGGACTATGACTACCTGCAGGGTGCACACGACCATGACTTCACCCTGCAGCCATAGATAGATATATCTGTACGTAACAGGACATAATGAGCTCAGGCAATGTCTGCCTCTCTCTGGCGGCTCCTTAGAATAGCCTTAATACAATCAATGTTGTCGACGCCGCTAAGGTTCCGTTGTGTGTCCTTGAATGCCCAGACGTCCTCGATGTCTGTCTTCACGCGACGCAAGGAAGGAAGATGTCTTACTTGAAACATTGCGTCAACACGATCGCGCACAAATTGGCGCTGCTGAAGATCAATTGCCTCGCATCCTGCGGTCCAAAGCGGCCAAGCATGTCCTGAAACAAGTGGAGATGTAATTGGCACTTGAGACAAGTGGAATAGACATCTCTCAACATGACCCAGGTTTGACGGATGAGGTGCGCCTTCGTTGCGCCAGACGCGGTGCAAATAGATGTGTGCGGCATGCTTGTACGCCTGCGTGGTGTGGTTAACATCGCTATTGTCCTCTTCAGCATCCCCTATGACCTGTAGAGCGTCCTCGATGACCCGTCCTTGTGCGTTGTGCACATCTTGACTCTGGCCACGCATTCTACTGATGAGCCCAACAAGCTGCAGGACCGATGCTAAGCCCTCCATGGAGGCCTGTCCTTCGATGGGTACGGCGTCGTTCAGATCGAGCAACGGGCTGGCTGCTCTTGAAATTGAAGAGAGAACATCATGGTAGAAACACAAGCTGAGGAGAAACTGGGCACTTGAGCCCGTCCAAGCCGCCGGTCCTCCTCTCTGCGCGATCACAGCCTTTGCGCCGGAAAGGTGATCAACCTTGGTATCTGTGGTGAAGAGCCGATCCGACACCTGCAACATCAAGATTGTAGCCAAGGACAACTCGGGGTCCTGAGTCTGTATGGTTTGTCGGAGCGAAGATACTGCCCGGAGGCGGTGTCGTGCGGATACTGTATCAAAGGAGGAGTCGCTGAGGAGGATCGCAAGATGCCCGGCAGCCATGGAGGAGACGGCATAACGTAGCCCAGGTGCACGTACTAACATCGGGGTAAGATGGACGAGGAATGGATTCTCTATGCCGGATGCCATCGAGACGACCGTAGCCAGGGCCTTGGTCCAGTGGTGTAATAGATATCGGCTCTCCGGTTCAATCTCGTTGGGTAAGTAGGAAGGGTTAGTAGACAAGGACACTATGGCGTTGCTCTCGTGCGTTGGGCTTGATGCGGTGCCGACGCTGGAGGTCCCATCATCGGGAGATGCGGCATACTGCTGGCTCCTCCGTCTCTGCGCCGGAGAGCCGGCTGCCGAGGGGGATGGGGTCTGAAAGGACTGCCATTTCAGCCGGACGCCGTAGCCCTTGCATGTCTTGTTAAGCCGAACGCAGCGTCCGCAGAATGGCTTCTTCTCGTCGCACTTGTAGCCGTCCTCTCTGCAAGTGAAACAGCCGGTGCGAGTTCTTGTATGTCGCATAGTAAGAGGCGAGAGCCAGGAGAGGCCGAATTCTGAAGAAGGAACAAGCAATCAGCAGCTATTTCGAGAGAGGAAGCGACAGACGGACGGGCTCGGCGAGAGGAGGGTCCTAAAGTGGAACTGCATCATCGACCATGTGCGTGCCGATCTACTAGATAAGGCGTTGAGATACCTAGGTCCAGCCTAGTCTAGGCCATTTTCTACGGAGTACTCTAGTTCATTCGGCGAATGGACCAGTTGCACTTATATTGCGTGCACTTTCTTCTGTAAATGCTTTCGAAGTGAATCTGCTCTACATGAGTGCTATAGGTTCGGCGTACTTGACAATACCATATGGCAAGGGCTTCTCATAATGCATCCTTTGATCCCTTGCATGGTGGTAGGTAACACGGCATCACCCGGATCTGTAGTGTCTCCGGCGATGCTCGGCGAGATGCCGGAGTTCGGTAATGCTTCTCGCCTTCAATCATAACGTAACGGCACAACAGCGCGGGCAGAGGGACATCATAGGAATGTCCTGAAGATGCGGAGCAGGTTGAGGTACTACGGGTATCATACTTTTTCAATTGGTAGCAAGCAACCACAGGATTATGCTATGCCTTCCGGACACAAGCTATCGAAAGGATGATCGTTTTGCGCGCTGCAAGGCGGCCGCGTCTGGGACATTTCAGCTATTCGCGTTGACGTGCTGATGTCAGCTCCGACCCATCCACTCGGTTGAATGTCTTTGTCCTGAGTGTGTACCGGTATTCCTACAGCTGCGTTTCAAAGAACATATCGGATTGTTGAGGAACATGAAGTCTGAATAATGCGACAAACTCATACTCAAATTTGTTGTGACTTATTTCTTGACTCAGTTCAATGCATTTCGTTGTTTCTCGGAGAGCCATATAACGTGATTTCCCACTACAATCGTAAAGAGTCAACCAACACCGCTGATCTCATTCGCCGTGCCGCTGCACCGGCCCCGTTTGAGCCACTTATATCAGCAGGTTCTGGGCCTCTAGGTCGCAGCACCAAGGCGTTGACCTCCACACCGACAATGCTCAAGGAACATTGACGTTGATGTTACCGCCCATCATCATCAGACTACGAGGTACCCGAATCAGGCACCCATTGCACATCGCCGTACAGTCCTGCACAGTACACAGACAGTGGCAGCCCACAAAGTGCAGACTGTAGATCAGCACATGCTGAAGTACAGCACAGTCATTGATACGATAGGGCTGAGTGAGCGAGGCCCACCTCTTATCTGCGTCCAGAACCGCCAGACATTGTCTATACTGGGCTAGCCAGATGAATGGGATGATTTGATCGTACTCAAGTTCCGACAACAGCAGATTCTATCCCAAGATATCCACTGTGTCTACCACTGGCAGACATTGAGCCGGCTTGTCAGAAAGTCGCTTGTCACCCATCCTTCTGCCTCGGTCGCCCCGGCATCCTGGATCGGATTGAGGCACGACCCAATCCCATCGCGACATTCCATCAAAGTTCTGACTGCTTGCACGCTTCGCCGTTGTCCCACAGCGGGACCAGCTCCTCCAGCCATCCTGGATCAGACACGCGGTCAGACAGGTCTATGATCTTCCTGATTCGGGAAAAAACGCGGTGACTTCGCTGCTGGATCGACCGTCATCAGCCACTATTCTCACCTAATCTCCTGGCGCCCTAAGAGATGATATATAGCATGTGCATGCCCCGTGTCAGAGCTATCTACGACTCCTGAAACCCACGTTTGCCCGGAAATTCTGCCCTAGTTTCTGGTATTTGCTTGCTATCGGGGCTCGACGTTCTGACCTCTTTGCACATCCATCTCGTTCCCCAGAGACAAGATGGCCTCCGCTCCCCTAACGATAGACGATCTCCCCAATGAGGTAGGACATCATGACTGCCCCCAATCGAGCCTTCCAGTGATAGCTGCTGACATGGCTGCTGTGACACAGATCCTGATCCACCTGCTCTCGCCGTTTCCGACGCTCCAGCTCCTTCCATTAACACAACTCAACCACCGCTTCCATGCCCTGACGTTGCGCATTCTTCACAATCGCTTAGCGACCGCTGCAGCCCTGCCTGAACACCAACTTATCCTTGAGTGCTATCATCCGAGCGCTAAGATCTCGACGCCTTATCTGTACTGCAACTACCTTGGCACGGACGGCCTGGAACGTGGGGAGGGGAATCTGAGCCTAGGACAGCTGCAGAGCCTGTACTCACGTTTCCGTCCCGTTGTGCAAGAGGAGAATCGCAGGCCGCGCAGGCGGTATCCAGTGCGTCCGCAGAGACAAAATGGTGCCCAGCAAGGCAATCAGCAAGATCAGAATGGCGCCTCGGGTTCGGGCTCAGCGTATGCGATAAGCGAGGAATTGGAAGTCCCGTCCCATGACGTCTTTCTCGATGAGTCCGAGTTGTTTACTCAGCTATGTACTGTGACAAATCTGGTTAAGGTTGGCCCCAAGCCCGGCCTCTTCCTAAGTCATGTCAACATCGGTGATGGCCTCGTCAGGGTATGGCGGCAATGGCTGTCGGCGCAAGCGGCGAGGAGCGTGGCTGAAGCCGGTTCGGACTCTGCTGATCGGGAGCACATCCTCTGGGCTGATGCTAGAAAGCAAGTGGGACTTCGCTTTCGTGTTCGCGAAAAGTCTGATGGCCCACGTCCTGTACTGGCACTCAGCGACGAGGACCTCCCGGTTAGCTACACTCTAGAACATCAGGAGCTGTTGGTCCGAACCACACAGCTGCTCTTGAATGTTGAGAAATCAAACGTGCAGGAGGTCACAAGTTCAGGTAAAGCAGTCGTGATTGCCTCGATTTGATCCAAATATTTTCCACACATCAGGAGAGGAACTTCTGGTGATGATAGCGACCAAGCACTCCGCGCTGACTATGCTGGGGATCTGGTTTCATTACTATTCCTACTCCATAATCATGCATGAGGCGACGAGATGTCAAGTGAGCATCTCGTTTCTGCTTCCTCGCGAAGAGAGCAGTGTTGGTGCTTAGGCTGATCAGCCATACCCTTGCTCACAGGCAATAACACATACCTGGCTGAGTACCTGCCCTGGCGTCGATTCTGGCTGCTACAGATGCAGGAGGTTGAGGGGTTCGACTAGAGCCGGCCACACACTGCCTCGTCTACCAAGAGGGGATCACGTATCAGAGATTACGGCTTACAGTTGTTCAAGGTGAACATTGGCTTACTTTCCCCGTCCGTTTCTGGACGTCTAGATTTGAGCTATATCCTCGAAGGTGGCGATAAGCTGGCTTGTAAAGGCCAGTTGTTTTACTGGGCAGACCCGACGCCGATAGCCTTTCAGCAGAAACCACGGGTTGCAGAGCCCGTATGGGCGTAAGGGTGTGAGAGATGGGCGATATTTGGTGAATAATGGGCACGGTGTTTGGGAATCATTTATGGATACACTGGCTCTGACCGGCCCGGCATATCAACTCACCAAGGCGTTATCGATGGCTACATGGCCAGGCCATTCGAGCAGAGCTGCCTATAAAAAGGCTACCGAATAGAAGAGATGTCATTGCATTTTGGAAAGAGAAGCGACTTAGAACATCTCAAACCAATACACA